TAACATGTGAACATTCGAATGTAATATATTTAATTTCATGCAAGAAATGCCCCAAACAATATGTAGGAGAAACTAAGAATAATTTACGAACTCGCTTTAATGCTCATAGGTCAGACATCAAATTAAAGAAAGACAAGCCAGTTTCTAATCATTTCAACCTCGACGACCATTCAATAGACGATCTCACCCTAATCCCAATTGAGCGTATAGAAATTGACTTGCCCGAAAATGAAACTACCAAATTCCGTCAATCTAGGGAGGCCCATTGGATTGAGACATTGAATACAGCAAGACCTATAGGACTAAATATTCATCATAATGTAGGCATAGCACCCTTTGTTGTCCCGTTTAATACAACCAGCAATCGAGCAAGCAAGATAGTTCATGCCCACTATAAGAGCCTTCAAGAGAAATTCCCCCATGTCTATAAGCAGAAAATGAGAGTTGCATATTCAAAAAATAAGAACTTAAATGATAATATTGTTCATAGTAAACTAAAAACAATCAGTACATAACAGATACTATACTTCTCGCCCATCGGGCGAGTTATTTTTTCTAATTTCAGATCAGAATAAGAACAGAAGAAAACCCAATATCAAGACCCTTAATCCTAATTTCTAAATAAAGTGTCTGCTCCACCCTAGGCCTGTACATTTGGGAGAATCAAACCCTCCCTTCCCCGAAAACCAAATATCACGAAAATCAGATATACAGTGTAGTCTCTATTGTGTTCACAAACATATTTTGACGTGTTTTTCCTCAAAAACCGTTCATCGAAAATATTAAATTCGACCATGACCAAGATCTCATTAGTATAAATGATCACACCAAATTTCATCAAAACCAGTTAAAAACTGTAGCCTCTATTGTGTACGGACAGACATATAACAAAAATGGGGTGTGAAAAACGTAAAAATAGTCATTTGCAAAACTAAGCAGGGTCTTCGGAAGAACGTACCTCAACAATGATAGGTCATCTAAAAAGACAAAATATATCATGTAATACAAGTTAACTATATAGTAATAGTTTATGATCCTTTATCTATTTTCAAGAGCAACAAAATTAAATCTAACCTTCTATTTGAGATCGTTCTAAATCATTTAACGAGTCTTCATCACTACAAAGCAAAATTAAAAGTATAAAATGTATACAGCATCTCAAAAGCTGGGCCTCAAGTAATGTCAGCCCATCCTCTAGTTTGTGGTCAACATGTAAATATGTAATACAAAGTTAATGGACAGTTATCTTATAAAATAGTTGTTAGCTCTCATTTATCGAAACTATGCCATTTGAAATTTGTGCATGGATTCTTTCTAGTAATGATTGGTACTTGTGTATTGATCAAATAGCAGTAAATCCTGTCAGAATCATCACATGGTATATTGTAGGATGATTTACAGACTCAAAGATACATATTAACAAATATTCCATTAAGGCGAGGTTGCTCAAATTCATTCTGTCTTTTAATGATAATTGTAAGAACCGAAAAAATTGTTCTTACCTGGCATCATTCAGACTCATCATATCTCCTTTGTCAAATGTGGTATTGTCTTCTGTTCTAGCCCTGTAATCCCATAGAGCTGATACTTGACCTAAAAACACAACAGTCACACAATTGAAATTAAGGATATTAGATGTGGAAAGTCGATTGGTGTTGTTTTTTGTAAATTCATTGTAGCTTTATAACAAAACACAAGACATAATTGTCTCAAACTCAAACGTTTGGGCATTGGTATATATAGAAATAAAACTTTCAAAATTCACAGTTTTATTATTTCGATAGCAGGAACTAATGCTCAACACAGCAGTTTTACATTCACAAATAAAAGTCAGCATTAAACTAATATCTACAGTTACATTCGATATTAAACAATGTATTCTGCTGTTAACTAATGTTTGCTGCCGGTTAAGAAAATGTTTGCTCCTTCCTGCTTGTAATAATTAGCTCTCAAACGAACTTTTAACTATTTTCAGCATCCATGTGCTTTTAGAGGAAAATAGACAAAACTAAACAGGAAGTAGCCTTTCTTAACCAATTATAAAAGTTACATCGGAATCAGACCACAACTCCTTTTTAGACCAAAGGAGAAGTAGGCC